GCTTCAGTGTATACCAGCATGGTGATTCCAAACAATATCAACAAAGTTATTTACACAAATAATAAAATTCTCTTTATTTTAAACTTGTGCTACATGTTACATTAACGTTTTTCAAATAATACTAATACTAATTAAAATTTTAATATTCAATACTAATATTGAAAATTACAAATTTAAGGAAATTTTGATCAGTGACATGTTATGAATGACCTCACTGACCTTATGAAATCACTATTCATAAAAACTTAATTATAATGGCCACAATTTAACAGTATACAGTACCTGGTATACTATATCGTCAAGGATTCTGTTTAGAGCACATTACCAACCAATTGACAAATCAGTATGTTTCACAGAAAATATTTTGCCGTGTAAATATAGTAGCAGCAAACAAAAATAAAATATACAAAAAATCAAAAGTTATTTGCAGCTTATAAAAATTATAAAAAATTATACCCTGAAAGGTTAAATATTAAATTTTGAAATAATGATTGATGAAACATGAGATTGTTTCAGTAATTAGGTATATGAGAAGACAGAATGGTCTCTGCCATTTATGTTACATTGAATTCACTATTGAAAATACTATCATTGACACTGATTTATACAGGTTTAAATTTATGTTCATAAGTACTGTTAATTATTGAATACAAGTATCTAAAAAGATTTGAATTTCATACACACTAACGGTACTCATAAAAACAGATAGTTTGAAGGAATATTTATCTGTGATCATATATATTAAATACAAAGTTGAATATAAAAACTCACTTCACCTAGTAATGTAATAAATACAGTGAACAGACATATTTAAGCAACATTAAAATTCCAAAAGACAACAATCTTGAAGTGTGCAAATAATTTATTATGAAAACACAAAATTTATTGCTCACTATATGTTATAATTACCTACACAGTCATACGTAAAGTAGCACTTGTTTGCATATAACTACTTCATGCGTAAATTCAGAATATTGAATAAATAGCTGAATGAATGAATGAATGGAAAGAATGAATGGAAAGAATGAATGAATGAATGAATGAATGAATGAATGAATGAATGAATGAATGAATGAATGAATGAATGAATGAATGAATGAATAGAAAGAATAGAAAGAATGAATGAATAAACATAATTAGAAGCTTGTTTTTTTTTTTTTGTATTCTGAGAATCAAAGGTTTCAGTACAATGAACATACCCTTAATACAGTATACTATATTTTTCTACTAGCATAGATGCCAATAAATGACTTATGGTAGCATTGCGTCGGTCTGACGACCAAGTCACAATCTAAGTGTCTTATACAGTTCTGATACAGTGATAGTGACACTTCTGAGAACTGTATTGTCGTCGACTCTGTTAGACTTTATTATTAATAAAACAAGATAATTTCAAAAAAAAACGTAACACTCACCTCACTTTGTCTGCTTGCTGTGTTCTATCCGCTCGGCGGAAACGACGAGAAATTGAAAAAGCGGCAACATCATCATTTGTTGTTTTTTGAACATTGGGCATGTATAGCGAAAATGGCCGACTTCCGTATACAAGTTAAGCCAATCAGCAGCTATGTTATATCAGTCCATGATTGGCATAGATTGAGTAACCTTTAATCTGATTGGTCAGCTTACCGTCTCCATATAAACACGGAAAGCGTACTTTTGTAACACTAAGACTGTCATTCATGTGAGAAAATCGATCACTATTTCCATGAGTATTGCTGTTTGAATTTGCCATCACACTATGTAACGGTAACTAGAGAATTGGTGTTCTTTTCAAAGCGCGGAAGAGGCCTGCCTTGTTGTTTTGGGTAAAACATTTACGCAAGTTAAGTCACTGTGAGTTAAGTTGAAATACGGTCTTCTTGTTTTCTTGTACGGGGAAACAGTGAGCGCCGTTGGGCCCTGGAACTTTTTTAGCTTCTTGGTCAGTCAGGTGGTTGTGCATCGGACGATATGTTTGGGAGAAACAGACGATATGTTTTGGGGTCACGTTTGGAGCAAAAATGAGACGTTAGTTACAACAATCGATTTCGTGGGGGGGGGGGGTATGATAAATCTGACAATTTAATTAGGCGCTAATCACTCGATCACTATTAGTCATTATAATAAAATTAAATCGCCTAGTGACAGTCAAAATAATTATATTTCACATTTCCCACGCTTTCAGTTTAGTTTTCGCAGAGACAATAACAATGCCAGCTAAAAAGAAAGGTGGCAAGAAAGGAAAAGGTAAAGGAAAAAAGAAAAAGAAGATAAAAGGTTTATTGGAAAGTCCAGATGAACTCGTTAAGAGGCTGATGAAAGTGTACACAACTGTGTGCCAAGACAAGCTGACTGCAATATGTCCGGGAATTAGAAAATTCCTCAAAGAATGTTTGGATGATAATAAACTGTGTGTCAAGGTATAGTGCCAATAAATTTTATTTCTATTTTGAATCAATATTTTGTTATCCAATTTTCAAAAAGGAAGTATAACCAGATAGTAAATAAAATTCCAACATGATACGTCTACAAATATTTAAGTACGCTGTAGGTTGTGGTGGAATACTGTTAACAATATCAATTTGTGTGACAAATAATCAGAACCAGCTCTGTTCTAGTAGGACCTGGAGCTTAGAAATGTTATTAGTCCTTCTGACCCAAAGCCTATTTATGGTAATTTCAAACATGGTGTGCATCACCATCTTACATCTTTTTTTCAAGTTTTTTGTCAGAATTTCTGAAAAAGATTAAATTTTATTGAAAATTAATTAAAATAAATTATAAATTTACAATAAATTATCATTTATGCCAACCCTAAAGTATAATATAGTTTTCATAAAAAGTTATGTATATATAGTATTTTCTATTATATTACATGTTGTATTTGCGTTATGTAAAATCCTTTTTTTTTACATTTCACTACCCAATACTCATTTATCTGTGATTACCAATCTCATTTTTTCCAATATTTTTTTTTCATTTTCATAAGTTCATATTGGAACCCATTCCAGATTATGATGACTCTGAGTTGAGTAATGTTCAGCTTGAACCACTGATACAGGCTTTAAGGAATGAGAGATATAAATATGTTAAAGAAATCTATGTTTGGGATATAGTGCTACAACATACAGATGTAGCCAGTTTGGTGAGTATAAAGGTTTAGATATCATTTATATAATTTATTGTTTCTCCCTGTAGTTGCAATTAACTTTCTTTTGTGCTGATGTAGTTTGATGTTGAATGCATATTATACTGGTAAGCTCTATTAGTAATTACATTCGCTTATGTAAATTATAGAAATGTGTCTTTGATCAAACCAAGTCATATTTTAATGTTTCAATATACCCCGGTATAATAAATGCATTTTCGTTTTTTCTGGTCTTCTATTAGAAACGCATTTCAAACAGAAGATCAGAAAAACAAAAATATAG